CCCCGCCCCCTCCCACAGGCTTCCCCACCACCCGCAAGGTCGCCCCGGCCTCGCCCGGCTGGCTCGCTGCAAGCACAAAGACCGTGGCTGTGCCCGAGTTCCCGGCCCTCAAGTCTGCGGGTGAGTCTACGGGCGAGTCCGCCTCCAGCTCGTCGAGCAAGTCCAAGTCGCGCCGGCGGAAGCGGCGCAAGGGCGAGGAGCTGTCGATGACCGAGCAGGGCCGCAAGATGGGTGACCCGTACGAGGCACTTGGCCTGCCGCAGCGGTTCGAGGCGACGCAGGAGGAGATCGAGGAGGCCTACCGCTACCAGGTCGTCGTCACCCACCCGGACAAGAACGGCGGGCTCGGCGACGCCCCGTTTGTGGCCGTCCAGGAGGCGTACGACGTGCTCATCAACGTCGACACCCGGCGCCAGTTCGAGTCGCAGTACGATGTCAACGAGACAATGCCCAAGCCCGAGACCATCAATAAGGACAACTTCTTTGACGTCCTCGAGCCCATCATTGCCGACACCGCCCGCTTCTCCATGAACCTCCCGGTCCCGCTCCTCGGCGACATGGATACGCCATACGACGACGTCGATGCCTTCTACGAGTTCTGGACCAAGTTTGACTCGTGGCGCGACTTCCGGTACTACGCCAAGTACACCATCGCCGAGATCAGCAACGCCGAGGACCGTGAGGAGCGCCGCTGGATGGAGCAGCAGAACAAGGCCGAGGCCAAGAAGCTCAAGAAGCGCGACAACCAGCGCATCTACGATCTGGTCCAGCTCGCCAAGGCCAAGGACCCGCGCATCGCACGCCGCCGCGCCGAGCGCAAGGCCGCCAAGGAGGCCGAGCGCCAGGCCAAGCTCGACGCCAAGGCCGCCAAGAAGGCCGCCGCAGAGGCCAAGAAGGCCGCCGCAGAGGCCGAGGCCCGCGCCGAAGAGGAGGCCAAAAAGGCCGAGGCCAACAAGGCCAAGGCCGGCAAGGCCGCCGCCAAGAAGCGCAAGAAGATCGCCCGCCGCAACATGCGCAAGCTCCCAGAGTCCTTCCCGCTCTCGACGCTCTCACCATCGAGCGCCTCTGCTCCTCGGCCGAGCCCGAGGTCCTTGAAAACGTCGTCGATGCCGTCAACGCCGCCGCTGACCACGACGCCCGCGCCGCCATCCTCGCAGACGCCGCCGCCGCTCTCTAACTCTCCTGCCTAAATACTTTACTCAATCGTCAGACTCGCCGCGCGCAACGCCAACAAGGATAACCGCCGTCGACGTCACCCCGAGCACAACGCCCGCCACAACAAGCACCACCGCCGCCCACCGCTTCCACCGCGGTGACTCGCGCTGGAGCTCCACGCAGCGGTAGAAGAGGAGGCCCGGCAGGATGTACGATGTAAACATCGACGCCGTCGATCCGACAAGACCAAAAACAACCGTCACGTTGGGAACTGCCAGCGCAAGCGAGACTGCCGCCACCCAGATCCCCACCGTCACGCCAACAAGGCGGGCCGTCGTCATCTCGCGCGCCGCCTTGGGAAAGAGCATGCGGTCAACTGAGAGCCGGACAGGGTACCCGGCCAGTGGGTACGTGAGAACCATCGTGAGGCAGAAGAGGGCGCGCAGGATGTTGAACAGCACCGAGTCGTCCGGATACCCGACCAAGAGATTGCCGCGCGTCTGCGAGAGAAACACCACGTAGCCCGCAATGCCAGCAGTGAGATACAGCGTGCCGCACGTGAGCGTCGACGCGTGGATCGCGTGCGAGAACCGCTTGAGCGTCGGCATCTCCTTGAGAACAGGAAACAAATTGGTGTGGCACGCAAACGCAAACGTGATGAGCGGCACTCCCTTGAACAGGTCCGACGAGAGCCGGAACCACGCAATGTCCTCGTGCCGTCCGCTGATGTGCGAGTTGGAGCTCTTCGTCGCAGAGTCGACAAGGACCACCACTACAAATGTGATCACCATCGCGAGCGAGAGCAGCGATGCGTACCGCAGCGAGTTGATCCGCCGCAGCAGTGCAAGCGGCAGCATTGCCCCGGTCGCAAGAATAAGCGTCAGCACCTCGCGCGAGGTCATGATCGAATCATCCGGAAAGACAAGCTTGGCCAGTGGCACAATCATGTCGCCTAGAATGATCACGTACGCCGTCACAGCCCCAAAGTTGATTCCAATCGTGCAAATCTCCACAAGCTTGGACCCCTTAGCTCCACCGAGGAACATTACCCCAGCGTCCTCGTACGTCAGCCGGTTCTGCGGCATCGTCTTGGCCACAGACGTCAGCAGATTGAGCGAAAAGTCGGCCATGAGCCCCATGGCCACCACCAGCGCCACCCCAGGCACAAGCCCACAGTACGAGAGCACAATCGGCAGCGCAAGAATCCCGGCCCCAATCGTCGAGTTGGCCAGGTTCGCTGCCGCAGAAAGCTTCGTCCCGCGCCGCACCGCGTCTGGCCCGTCCAGCACCTCCACGTCGTACTCGCCGCCCACAACCGCTCCACCGCCGCCGCCGCCGCCACCCTCCACCAACGCCACCCTCACACCACCACCATCGCCCCCGTCGCGCCCTCCCGTCCCTTCTTCGCCCAGCAAGTCCAGATTCATTCCTCCTCTGCGACAACTGCCTCCCGCTCTTCCAACTCTACGTCACATGCCTGTCGCACAAGCACACATGCGGCTTTTGGTTTGGTGCCTCCTCCTCCCACTGCTGCCGTCATCTCCATTTTACGAGCTCGACCCGGCTCCGTTGCTGCCGCCGGGCACTGCCGAGCCCATGGCGGTCTGAATGACCGACGCGATGCGCTTCATCCACGACGCGTTCTCCTGGACCCGCGATCCACGCCGAGAGCGCTTGCGGTCCGACTCGAGATGCTGCTCGGCGAGACTCTCAAACTGCGCCTTGACCGCCGGCCACTTGGCCACCACATCGTTAAAGGTGTCGCGGGTGAGGACCTGCACTTGGACATCGTTGTACGCCCGGATCGACGCCGTCCGCTGCGTGTGCATGAAGAGCGCGATCTCACCAAAGAACGTGCCCTCGTTGATCTGGATCGTGTCGCCGTTGGGGAGCTCCACAAGGACAATGCCCTTGGTGAGAAAGTACATCGAGTGCCCGTCGTCGCCCTCGCGCATGATGTACTGCCCCGGCCGGAACGACTGCGGCGTCATCCGCTCCAGCATCTCAGTCATGAAGCTCGCGTCGAGGTCACCGAGCCCGGCTCCGTCGCCGTCGTCCGACGTGTGGATAAAGTGCGGGACCTTGGTCCCCTCGGCTCCGCCAGTCATCTCCTGGACCTGGAACGTCTTGTCGGCGACCGCCCAGACCTCAACAACCAGCTCCTCCTCCTGCAAGTACTTGACAAGATCGGCCGTCACGTTGGTCGTCACCAGGTGCTTGTGGTTGAGCTCGTGGTTGACAATGCAGTCCACAGACGGCGGCGTGTACACAAGCTCCGTATCGAAAAACTTGAACTTGCAGTACACCCCGTTCTCGTACTGGAGCGGGACGCCCACAACAGACGCAATCGAGACCAGAAAGTCGACCCGCGACCCCGCCGCAAGCCAGTTCTCGTCGTCGAGATCCTCATACTCGATGATTTCGCCCGTCACCGACGCCACGTAGATCGAGATGATCAGTCCGCCCTGGTACCCGCCGGTCGCGTCCCAGATCGGCGTGTGGAGGTTCGGCCCCACCGGAATGCCCTCCGAGAGCGCAAGCAGAAGCACGTGTGCGAGCCCGATGAGCTCGTCTCCGGGCGGTCCTCGAACGGGTCGTACCCGTCAACAAGCTGCACTTCGCCACTCGCGTTGTACCCCTCGTACACCTCCTTCATCGAGAGCAGCTCGTCCTCGAACCGATCCGTCGACCAGAACGACTCGCGCTCTGGCTCGTCGAGGTGGACCACTTTGATCTTGATCTCCGTCTTGGCGTTGTGGTAACCCTTCGACATGTCGCACGCAAACACAGGCTCGAACCGCCGCGGCTTGTTCATCGACTTGCACACCGCATTCGCCTCCATGATAAACGGCAGCATGTCCGTGAGGACAAGCTCGAGCTCGCCGCGCCGCTTCGCCTGCGCGTCCGTCTCACCGGCCACCTTCTGGATCTTGGTCAGCGGATTGTGCGACGCTAGCTCCTGCACCGCGTAGTGCAGGTCGTAGTGGACCGATCTCACCTCGCTCCCGCCGGCCATCTGCCGCTCAACCTCAACCGGGTCCACAAACCGGAAAAGTGGTTGTTGCCAATCACAATGCGGTCGCCCTCGTGGAGCACCGCCGCAGACTCGAGCTTGTTGCCGTCGAGAAAGAGGACTGCGTTCGAGTGCGGCTCGAGCGTGCACTGCCCCTCGGCGTTGCTGATCGTGCAGTGCAGGTTCTGCACCAGCACGCCCCCGAGCACCACGTCGGCCTCCTGCGCCTTGCCAAACACCGTCCGCTCCGCCTCGAGCCCGTACAGTAGCGACGGATTGTGCAGGTTGATTAGGTGCGGCTGCGATGTGTCAACATCGAGGTCAATGCCGTGCAGCGCCTTGAGCGCCTGTGCCATCTCCTCCGCCGTCTGGTGCGACCGCGCATTCTGCGCCGCCGCTCGCTCTTCCTCGGACATCCCCATCTCCGAAAATACTCCTTCTGCCGCGAGAGCTGCTCGCGTAGCGCCTCTAGCTCAGCCGCCATCTCTTCCTGCTTCTTGAGCTCGTCCTCCGACAGCAGCGCCCCGCTGTGCCGTTGGCCGCCGCCAGCATGGCCTTCAACCGCGTCACCTCGTCCTTCAGCTCGCGGATGACCTTCTCGTTCGGCGACTCGTTGATCACCGCCACGTTCTGGATCTTCGATGCCCGATTCGCGTACCGCAGCGTCGAGAGCGTCTCCTTAAAGTTGTCTGCCGCCGGCGAAATCGCCGCAACCATGATCGTCTTGGCGTTGCCACCCAGGCTCTCCTGCAGAATCCGAGTCAGCTTCGAGTCACGGTACGGGACCAGCCGCTTCTTGGCCTTCTTCTTACCCGACGCCGACGCCACGCAGTTGTCTGCCAGCGCCTCGATCACGTTGCCCAGCGCCGTCAGCGACTGGTTGATCGCCGAGCCCTCCTTGAGCCGCTGGCCCTCGGCCCCAGTCTTGCCCTGCCGCTCAGAGCCGGCGAGATCAATGAGGTTGATCTTACTCGTCATGTCCGACGCCGTCATCGACTCCTTGTTGATTCGCGTCTGCGTGAGCAGGACAGTGAGCACAGAGTGCGACCGTGACGACACCGCGTTCATGTTCGTCTGCGCCACCGTTCGCATGGTGTTGCCCAGCTCCATCAGCTGCTCTACGTCCTCATAACACGCCACACGCTCCTTCTTGAGGCCTTCGACATAGATCCCGAGCTTGGGGCTCTCGCGCACCTTGAGGCTACCGGCCGTCGGCGTCGCCGAAAACAGGTCGCGCACCTTTTCCATGTAAATCTCCAGGAACGAGACCTCGACTCGGAACGAGAGGTCTGGATCGTCATTGGCGTCAATCCGCTGGAACATCTCCGCCAGCCCGCGCGGAATAATGCCCGGCTGGCCCGGCGCGCCAGTCATCGAGTACGACTTGCCGGCCCCGGTCTGCCCGTACGCAAAGATCGAGCAGTTGTACCCCTTCCACGCGTTCTCCAGGTACGAGATGCCCAGGTCGCGAAAGACCATCTCCTGCGAGGCAAAGTGCTCCGACCCCGGCTGGAACGAGTCATAACAGTAGTTGAACGAGAACTGCCGCTCCTTGCCCGACTCTGGGTCCGTCACCGTGCACATCTGGCCGACCATCTCCACGCACTTGGCCGTCTTGAGCTTCTTCTCACGCTCGTTGAACGGCCGCATCCGCACCGCAATCTGTCCTCCCCCATTCACCACAACCTCCATGTCATAAGTTCTCCGCCCCCCCCCCCCGCCCTCCCCTCACCCAAGCCCCGCACCAACTCGGCCCACCACCGACACCACCGCCACACACACCGCACACGCCGCATACCTGCACCGAGCTCGTGTCCGCCATACTCTACCCTCGTCTACAGCACAAGCACAGTCACAAGAGGCAATCGAGGTCGAGACAGATGTGCCGTGTGAGATAAGCCGTCGACACCACCACCACCACCTCGGCCGTCGGTGTGTGTCAGGCGGCTGTCGCTCGCCTTCCGCTCCGCTGCCGGCCAAAAACCAAACCCGCCACCGGCCGTTCGACCAACCGCCCGCCGCCCGCCGCCCGCCCGCCCGCCCGCCCAACTTTTGG